AATCATGGCTACCCGGACTATTTGCATTGACCCCACCCATCTTTTACGCTGCTGCTACTCTCTGTTTATTATCTATGCATAGCCACTTTAATAACTTTACCCACATGTACATATTACCCCAATTACCTCAACTAACCTGTGCCCCCGCACATTGACTCTGTACCGGTACCCCCTGTATATAGCCTCGCTATTGTTATTTTTACTGCTGCTCTTTAATTATTTGTTACTTTTATTTCTTATTATTTTATATGATGTTTTTAGTGATTTATTTTCATATTCTTTCTTAAAACTGCATTGTTGGTTAAGGGCTTGTAAGTAAGCATTTCACTGTAAGGTCTACACCTGTTGTATTCGGCGCATGTGACAAATAAAATGTGATGTGATTTGATTTGATTTGAACCCTAACCCTTAATGTAATTCTAACCTTAACCCTAAATCCCCTAGAAATAGCATTTGACCTTGTGGGGACCAACAAAATGTCCCCAGTTGGTCAAATTGTTGTTTGTTTACTATTTTTGTGGGGACTTCTGGTCCCCACAAGAATAGTTAAACACGTCCACACACACACACACACACACACACACACACACACACAGAACATTACAGGAACACAGACCACGCAGACTCAAGACATTCTCTAACATTGGAAATGATTTGGAAAAAGCTATATATTTAACAGTCCTACCACCTAGTGTACAAAGTCTCATTTGAACCCTTTCTTACTGTCCATGGGTAACCTAATCACCCCCATTCTGCTGAGTGTTGTACTTGGATAGGAGTGCAAATTATGAAGTGAGGTGTAAACCTCAGCAGACTGAATGGAACTTATATTATGAACGCAGGCGCTGTTGCGGTACAGGGGAGCACATTAAACAGCGTGCAGACAGACTGAGTCGAGACATTTTTTTTAATGAACATCTGCATTCAACTGGGCTCATTACCCTGGTCCAGGGATCGACTTGGCCCCGACCATCTGTGGTTTGTTCCCCTCTTCCCCCTTCCTCCCCGACAGGCTCAATCTTAAAATTCCAGCAGTGCTTTTTCACCCGAGTCAGGAGAATCTAATGACGCTAGGGTAGCTGAGGTCATTCAGTCTACAGTAGATAGTCTCTGACCACAGAGTCCAGAATGAATGGCTGTTCATTATATGGTTTGTTATGGAAACAAGATGGTGAGGCGTTATGGCTAACTGCTCTGCTGTGCGGGTCTACTGAGGCTTCGTAGCTAGTCAGACATCTTAGTTCACCACAGAGATGCTGAGATCAGCTAACGATCCGTGAACTTTGTGGGAGGATATGCTGTAATGTCCTCTGGTAATAATCTGGCAACCCGGGAAAAGAGAGTTTCTGCAATGCAAAGGCCATCAGTAATCTGGCAACCCGGGAAAAGAGAGTTCAGCAATGCGAAGGCCTTCAGTAATCTGGCAACCCGGGAAAATAGAGTTCTGCAATGCAAAGGCCTTCAGTAATCTGGCAACCACTATGTAAATGATCTCTATTTCCGCCATCACTACCATGGTGTTGGGAAGCTAGAGTCCCGAGACGCAAGGCTGTCAGACCACAAGGAGATAGTCTTACCACACCTTCTGTCTGCTGGATTCAAGAGTTTGGCTACAGTGAGACTAACTAGTAGGAGATAACCGCCAGCTAGTCAAAGATACAGGAAGAGTCAGAGTCTAGCAGAGTTAGCAGAGCCCATCTTTACAGCAGTGGAGTCTGCTGAGGGGAGGACGGCTCATAATAAAGTCTGGAATGGAGCAAATGGAATGGCATCAAACACATGGAAACCATGTGTTCGATGGATTCGATACCATTCCACCTATTCCGATTCCAGCCATTACCACGAGCCCGTCCTCCCCAATGAAGGTGCCACCAACCTCCTGTGCTTTACAGCATGTGTGTGGGCCATGCATGAGCGGCCAGGGCCACTGTCAATCACCTTGGCTGGAGTGACAGATCACAGGGACTACAGAGGCCTGAGCTGAGAGAGAGGCCTCTCTGTCTGTCTCCGTATCTCTCTGAAGCACGGCCAGGGCCACTGTCAATCACCTTGGCTGGAGTGACAGATCACAGGGACTACAGAGGCCTGAGCTGAGAGAGAGGCCTCTCTGTCTGTCTCCGTATCTCCCTGAAGCACTTGCTAACCCACCCACACTCTCTCAAACACACTCACACATCTCCCCTTTCACCATATAGGGGACATTATATTCCCTCCATCTCTACACACCCACTCAGACAAGTATACACAGTCACACAACTGACACACTTTTTTTCCATATCTCTCTCAAGCACACACGCGCACACACACACACACACACACACACACACACACACACACACACACACACACACACACACACACACACACACACACACACACAGTGGGAGGTCAAGTGAAGGGGTGGAGGGGGGGTAAGGGGGACTCTGGAGAGCATTCTTGTGCCCCATCCAACATTCAGAGGACAGAGTGTGGCCTCTTCTCTGCCAGGCTGGTGGTCTTTCAGCCAACACCCCTTTGACCACAGAGCTGTACGGCCTCAGGTGGTCTGTAAAGACAGTCTGAGGACACAGGGAGAGAGAATGAGATACTCCACTGATGGAGAATGTTAATGTATGGCCCAAGTGGGGTATCAATGCTGTGTGTGTGTGTGTGTGTGTGTGTGTGTGTGTGAGTGTGTGTGTGAGTGTGAGTATGAGTGTGAGTGTGAGTGTGTGAGTGTGTGTGCGTGAATGAGTGTGAGTGTGTGTTTGTGAGTGTGAGTGTGTGTGTGTGTGTGTGTGTGTGTGTGAGTGAGTGTGCATGTGAGTGTGTGAGTGAGTATGAGAGTGTATGTGACTCCCGAGTGGCGCAGTGGTCTAAGGCACTGCATCGCAGTGCTAGCTGTGCCACTAGAGATCCTGGTTCGAATCCAGGCTCTGTCGTAGCCTGCCGCGACCGGGAGACCCATAGGGCGGGATAGGGGAGGGAATGGCCGGCAGGGATGTAGCTCAGTTGGTAGAGCATGGCGTTTGTGGGTTCGATTCCCACGGGGGGCCAGTATGAAAAATTGTATGCACTAACTGTAAGTCGCTCTGGATAAGAGCGTCTGCTAAAATGTGTGTGTGTGTGACGAGGGGTTAAAGGATATGTTCCTTCTTGATCAGCAGACAGTGTAACAACATCCCCATGGATCAGTGGTAGGACACCAGTTTAACCATTTATGCTCAATATCCTCAATAAAGAGCAAATCTGTATGACCTCAATACATACATCATGACCTCAATACATACATCATGACCTCAATACATCCATTTATACAGGAAATCATGACATGTACTTAAGTGCTCTGACTGAAAATAGAGAGTGTTCCCTGTCAAGCCCAGTAGGCGGCGCTGTGTGTGTGTTCACTTCAGGCCAAAATCCCATACCAAAACAGGGCCTACTAACATAGGCAAACATTTATAAGGAGGGGGTTACTGATAACGTTGTCTGGTCTCCTGTGTCATTCTGGCTAGGTATAATGTCATGGGCCAAAATGGCCAAGGGCCAAAAAGCTCTGTAAAATGACTGGTCTACTCCTCCCAGACGTCTTTATCTCTAATCTAGATATTCTTTCAATTTTGGCCTCTAAGAGAAGCACGTTCACCTGGATTTTGGAAGGGTACACGTATTCGTATTGAACCGTTCGGTACGGGGACCTCGGTTCGGTCCGTGAACCCGAATGAATACAACAAATATTTTAAAAGATAATAACACTAGGCTATGCCTACACTGCGTTGTATGCCATTGCCTCGTGAGTAAATCTGAGCTGAAAAAACCATTGTAGGCTATCCCATTAAAACAACTACAGTCTATGCGCACGTTTTAGTCAAAATTCTAATCTTAACTGGCGGATTTCAAATAATCCTTTTGTGGAGGAGCAGCCGGGAACTCTGTAGATGGCGAGTGGTGGGGCGAGTGGTGGGATCGACAAACCAGAATTGGAGGATCCTCCATCATCGTTTAAATCTCCAGTTTGGGAAGATTTTGTCTTCACAGTCGATTACAACGCCGATGGACAGAGAGTTGTGGATGAATGTTAATAGTATGTTCTCCACTGACAGACAACATCAGGAACATAGTGAATGATGTCACAACAGACAATGCCAGGAACATAGTGAATGATGTCACAACAGACAGGAACATAGTGAATGATGTCACAACAGACAACGCCAGGAACATAGTGAATGATGTCACAACAGACAGGAACATTTTAAATGATGTCACAACAGACAGGAACATAGTGAATGATGTCACAAAAGACAACGCCAGGAACATAATGAATGATGTCACAACAGACAACAGACAGGAACATAGTGAATGATGTCACAACAGATAACGCCAGGAACACAGTGAATGATGTCACAACAGACAGGAACATAGTGAATGATGTCACAACAGACAACAGACAGGAACATAGTGAATGATGTCACAACAGACAGGAACATAGTGAATGAAGTCACAACAGACAACAGACAGGAACATAGTGAATGATGTCACAACAGATAACGCCAGGAACATAGTGAATGATGTCACAACAGACAATGACAAAAACATTGTGAATGATGTCACAACAGACAACAGACAGGAACATAGTGAATGATGTCACAACCGACAACGCCAGGAACTTAGTGAATGATGTCACAACAGACAACAGACAGGAACATAGTGAATGATGTCACAACAGACAATGACAAGAACATTGTGAATGATGTCACAACAGACAGGAACATAAGGAATGATGTCACAACAGACAACGCCAGGAACATAGTGAATGATGTCACAACAGACAGGAACATAAGGAATGATGTCACAACAGACAACGCCAGGAACATAATGAATGATGTCACAACAGACAACGCCAGGAACATAGTGAATGATGTCACAACAGACAGGAACATAGTGAATGATGTCACAACAGACAACGTCAGGAACATAATGAATGATGTCACAACAGACAGCAGACAGGAACATAGTGAATGATGTCACAACAGACAACAAACAGGAACATAGTGAATGATGTCACAACAGACAATGCCAGGAACATGGTGAATGATGTCACAACAGACAATGCCAGGAACATGGTGAATGATGTCACAACAGACAATGCCAGGAACATGGTGAATGATGTCACAACAGACAATAGACAGGAACATAGTGAATGATGTCACAACAGACAACAGACAGGAACATAGTGAATGATGTCACAAAAGACAACGGCAGGAACATAATGAATGATGTCACAACAGACAACAGACAGGAACATAGTGAATGATGTCACAACAGATAACGCCAGGAACACAGTGAATGATGTCACAACAGACAGGAACATAGTGAATGATGTCACAACAGACAACAGACAGGAACATAGTGAATGATGTCACAACAGACAACAGACAGGAACATAGTGAATGATGTCACAACAGACAACAGACAGGAACATAGTGAATGATGTCACAACAGATAACGCCAGGAACATAGTGAATGATGTCAAAACAGACAATGACAAAAATATTGTGAATGATGTCACAACAGACAACAGACAGGAACATAGTGAATGATGTCACAACCGACAACGCCAGGAACTTAGTGAATGATGTCACAACAGACAACAGACAGGAACATAGTGAATGATGTCACAACAGACAATGACAAGAACATTGTGAATGATGTCACAACAGACAGGAACATAAGGAATGATGTCACAACAGACAACGGCAGGAACATAGTGAATGATGTCACAACAGACAGGAACATAAGGAATGATGTCACAACAGACAACGCCAGGAACATAATGAATGATGTCACAACAGACAACGCCAGGAACATAGTGAATGATGTCACAACAGACAGGAACATAGTGAATGATGTCACAACAGACAACGTCAGGAACATAATGAATGATGTCACAACAGACAGCAGACAGGAACATAGTGAATGATGTCACAACAGACAACAAACAGGAACATAGTGAATGATGTCACAACAGACAATGCCAGGAACATGGTGAATGATGTCACAACAGACAATGCCAGGAACATGGTGAATGATGTCACAACAGACAATAGACAGGAACATAGTGAATGATGTCACAATAGACAACAGACAGGAACATAGTGAATGATGTCACAACAGACAGCAGACAGGAACATAGTGAATGATGTCACAACAGACAGGAACATAGTGAATGATGTCACAACAGACAACAACATAGTGAATGATGTCACAACAGACAGGAACATAGTGAATGATGTCACAACAGACAACAGACAGGAACATAGTGAATGATGTCACAACAGACAGCAGACAGGAACATAGTGAATTATGTCACAACAGACAGGAACATAGTGAATGATGTCACAACAGACAACAGATAGGAACATAGTGAATGATGTCACAACAGACAACAGACAGGAACATAGTGAATGATGACACAACAGACAACAGACAGGAACATAGTGAATTATGTCACAACAGACAGGAACATAGTGAATGATGTCACAACAGACAACGCCAGGAACATAATGAATGATGTCACAACCGACAACGCCAGGAACATAATGAATGATGTCACAACAGACAATGACAGGAACATAGTGAATGATGTCACAACAGAAAACAGACAGGAACATAGTGAATTATGTCACAACAGACAGGAACATAGTGAATGATGTCACAACAGACAACAGCAGGAACATAATGAATGATGTCACAACAGACAATGCCAGGAACATAATGAATGATGTCACAACAGACAACAGACAGGAACATAGTGAATGATGTCACAACAGACAATGCCAGGAACATAGTGAATGATGTCACAACAGACAACAGACAGGAACATAGTGAATGATGTCACAACAGACAACAGACAGGAACCTAGTGAATGATGTCACAACAGATAACGCCAGGAACATAGAATGATGTCAAAACAGACAATGACAAAAACATTGTGAATGATGTCACAACAGACAACAGACAGGAACATAGTGAATGATGTCACAACCGACAACGCCAGGAACTTAGTGAATGATGTCACCACAGACAACAGACAGGAACATAGTGAATGATGTCACAACAGACAATGACAAGAACATTGTGAATGATGTCACAACAGACAGGAACATAAGGAATGATGTCACAACAGACAACGCCAGGAACATAGTGAATGATGTCACAACAGACAGGAACATAAGGAATGATGTCACAACAGACAACGCCAGGAACATAATGAATGATGTCACAACAGACAACGCCAGGAACATAGTGAATGATGTCACAACAGACAGGAACATAGTGAATGATGTCACAACAGACAACGTCAGGAACATAATGAATGATGTCACAACAGACAGCAGACAGGAACATAGTGAATGATGTCACAACAGACAACAAACAGGAACATAGTGAATGATGTCACAACAGACAATGCCAGGAACATGGTGAATGATGTCACAACAGACAATGCCAGGAACATGGTGAATGATGTCACAACAGACAATAGACAGGAACATAGTGAATGATGTCACAATAGACAACAGACAGGAACATAGTGAATGATGTCACAACAGACAGGAACATAGTGAATGATGTCACAACAGACAACGCCAGGAACATAGTGAATGATGTCACAACAGACAGGAACATAGTGAATGATGTCACAACAGACAACAACATAGTGAATGATGTCACAACAGACAGGAACATAGTGAATGATGTCACAACAGACAACAGACAGGAACATAGTGAATGATGTCACAACAGACAACAGACAGGAACATAGTGAATGATGTCACAACAGACAGCAGACAGGAACATAGTGAATTATGTCACAACAGACAGGAACATAGTGAATGATGTCACAACAGACAACAGATAGGAACATAGTGAATGATGTCACAACAGACAACAGACAGGAACATAGTGAATGATGACACAACAGACAACAGACAGGAACATAGTGAATTATGTCACAACAGACAGGAACATAGTGAATGATGTCACAACAGACAACGCCAGGAACATAATGAATGATGTCACAACCGACAACGCCAGGAACATAATGAATGATGTCACAACAGACAATGACAGGAACATAGTGAATGATGTCACAACAGAAAACAGACAGGAACATAGTGAATTATGTCACAACAGACAGGAACATAGTGAATGATGTCACAACAGACAACAGCAGGAACATAATGAATGATGTCACAACAGACAATGCCAGGAACATAATGAATGATGTCACAACAGACAACAGACAGGAACATAGTGAATGATGTCACAACAGACAACGCCAGGAACATGGTGAATGATGTCACAACAGACAACACCAGGAACATAGTGAATGATGTCACAACAGACAGGAACATAGTGAATGATGTCACAACGGACAGGAACATAGTGAATGATGTCACAACAGACAATGCCAGAAACATAGTGAATGATGTCACAACAGACAATGCCAGGAACATAGTGAATGATGTAACAACAGACAATGCCAGGAACATAGTGAATGATGTCACAACAGACAATGCCAGGAACATAGTGAATGATGTCACAACAGACACGAACATAGTGAATAATGTCACAACAGACAACGCCAGGAACATGGTGAATGATGTTACAGAATGTCACGCCCTGACTCAGAGGACGCTTATATGTTGAGTCAGGGTGTTTATATTCCTATGTTGTATTTTCTATGTTTAGATCTAGTATGTCTAGATCTATGTTGGCCGGTGTGGTTCACAATCAGAGGCAGCTGTCGCTCGTTGTCTCTGATTGGGGACCATACTTAGGCAGCCTATTGGCACTAGTGGGTTGTGGGATCTTGTTCCGTGTGAGGTATGTTGTTTGTGTACCTTGGACTTCACGTTTCGTTTAGTTTGTTGTTGTTTATTCGGTTCAAATAAACATGTATGCATATCACGCTGCGCCTTGGTCTGACCCGTCTGTGAACGAACGTGACACAGAAACTGGACTTTTTAATTTTTAAAAACCGTTACACCCCTATTAAATACTATCCACTCTAAACTTCCTCGGTCAAACAGATCGAAAATAAGTCTGGGGGAATTAACAACGTTCAACAGTTTGGGATGGAATGTGAACACAAACTGTATCAGTCGTGATATTATATTGGAATGGAAGTCTGCTTATTCAAGGAAACCTCAACTATGCCCAAGTCCTTATTGGAGAGAAGAGATATTATTAAAGTGGCTGAAAGACTGCAGCTTTCTGAAATTCTTGTTGTGAAGAACAACACAATACGTACAGTCCAGCCCATTCCTGCCCAGTTGGTACCAATCAAAAATAGCTTGTTCATTCGAGCTACCCGCTCTTGCCCCATCCCTTGCTGGTGCGTAGGCCAGTGTTATTTGGTTTGGGTAGATCATGGCTGTTGTAGTGTATGGCTGAAGGGGGCATGAGGCTCCCTTCATGTAAATGTCACGTTGTTTCAGAGGCCTTCCTGTGTGTTTAACCAGCTGTACTGCTGCCTCTCTGACCAAAGAGTACTCCGGCTCTATGACCAAATGGTACACCGGCTTCAATTGCTGCCCTCTTTGGCAGCTTGCCTCCAAAATGTCCCCCAGCGGTTTCAGGCCTTTTCGACAGCGAGCGTGAAAGCTTCCAGCCTGTCAGGGGAGGAGAGAGTGAACGATGACTGATGGCGTGCTTTGTAAAGGGAGGTCTGCAGTATACCGTGACCCCTTTAAAGACTAGAGAGTCATCCACAAGGGGCCTTTTCTTAGGAGTGCAGTGGTCGTTCCAGAGTCATATAGAAGCCTCCTCTTGGCTTTGTATCACAGTGGGAGTCTGTAAAGTCTAAAGAGGGCCACTTGCAGTCCGCTCACCTTCCATTGAATCACGGTAGCACCATCGTTTCCATGGCGCCAGCTGATTGTGGCGGTTTGACGACAGTTGATGGAGCTGATCTCCTAACCAGACGCCCACTTCCCTTCTCCTACTGAGACAAAAAAAAGACCCAACACACTCCAACCTGAACCATCGCTTCAACTCCCATAACACGGTCACTCATACTCGGGTTCAAGTCGTCCTGGAACATTAAACTTCCATTTTCACCCAGAAATTCACCCAGACAGTCATACTCTAACAAAGTGCTTCCCAAATGGTGGGTCGACTCAGGACCCAGTGACCCACTTCTTCGGAATGGGAGAAGCAGCTAATTCCTTTAGGGTCACAGTTTTAGACTGCTAGAAACACTGGGCTTGTTTTCTTGGTAGGCCACAAGACAACTCCAAAAGCACATTTGGGAACTCAACGGGCAAATCTGGTTGATGTAACATCATAATGAATGTTCAACTAGTTGTAATGACATCATTTCAACCTGTTTTGCCCGCTGGGAACTAAACCCAGCCTTCTATGCTACTGCAACAACCCAATGCATGACGTTACCAAAGCAACGGTCAAAGCAGCTGTATGTTAAGACATTTGAACTGTATCATTTCAACCTCTGCTGTACTTGGTCTACAGAGCAGTTTCAGCTTGACGTCCAGAGAAGCTGAAAGCTTGATTCATCGTTCTCATTAGAGGCAATAACATACAAGACCCAGGGTAAACACTCCTACCTCCCAGTGCAAAAATGTATCCACTCACGACTAAGTCGCTCTGGATAAGAGTGTCTGCTAAATGACTGAAATGAAATGTAAAGCTGTAGTCATCCAATGACCCAATAAATCCACTATGGACCAGGAAACTGTAACTGTTATGTAACCAATAAAGTTTGTTTCTCTTTGACTCTAATTCAAATTTCTCTTAATTTAGCAAGAAGGCAGACATACTGTACATTCATAGTAATTTGATTAATACATGAAAAATACTGTGTGACCTTGAATAAATCAATTTCTCTTTAGTTAAAGGATCATAGCCCTGAAGAACCAACCAACTGGACAGGCACGTCACAACCCATACATTGAACAGTAATCCTGTTTTACAATTACCAATAATCTTCCCTTTATGTGTTTTTACCCATAGAAGCACATCTAAATCAACAAGAGGTTATAAACGTGATATTCTAAGGCTTCCTCCAAAACGGCCAAGGTTCCAAATGAGATTCACGCTAACACAGTCATGCTAAAGTGAACCCTTTAACGAGGATCACAACCGCAGTTTATTGTGGAAAAAGACACTTCCTAAATAAAATACTGTCTAAACAGATCCATTTAGACCGGAGTGGTCATCTTACAGACAATTCAACTGACAGTCCAGGTAATTGAGTCCTGAGGCAAACGCTACAACTCAAGCCGTCTTCACCTGATCTTTAAACTGTCCAGATTGAGAACTTGACCTCTTTGGCTGCCAGTGCCTCTATAACAGAGGAGACAGCAGTTAGCTGTTAGAACCTATAGATCCACACAACAAGTGGCTGGTGGCACAGGACCTAATTTCTCGGCTCTATTGATACCAAAACAACACTAAACATCTGAACTCGGACTCACTTCCACTAGGCGTAAACTGCAGAAATACAGATCCACAAAATGTAGTGAAAGATGTGAGCACCTGAGGAGCTTCCATGGCAGCTTTATGGTCAGCTGTCTTCGAATGACGGACAACCTGCTACTAAAGAGACTTCTTAGTAACTTCGGAGATATTTCTTGTTTATTTGCAAGAGGAAAACATTGTATACTGTTACCAGGCCAATATGGAGTGCTCTGCATGCGCCAAAGAGGAGTAATTGGGATTTTTACTTGCAGGTTATCTTGTAAATGTGCTTCCTTGCCTCCAGTCTTTCTCTCTCCTTTGACAGTCTGTTTCTACTTAGGTCACCCACTCTCTCTTTTCAAGTTTAGAATGAGGCATCACCTTGATGGGGAAGTTAAACATCCAACAAGTCAGAGTTCAAAGGTCACACACTCTTTTTTTCAATTCTACTATTGGCGGAGGACACACTAAAACGTTACGAGACGTTACGAGACCGACCGAAAAAGCTACGACTACAATAATCCCCCATTGCCCCTTTCCTTTCGCACACCCCTGTTACACAGCAAGTAGTGAAGTACAGAGATTGCATCATCCAATGGAAAGTTCAATGGAAATTTGCTTCACACAAGTCAAAACAAACAGAGAGAAGGGGAGTGTTGGCAAAATTAAAAGCAGTCAGCCAGCCATTGAAAACGTAACCCTGGGAGAGAGAGAAGAGGAATAAGAAGAGTTGATACAGGATGTTGAAGAACTTCCTATGAAGTTTACTGAGAATGTCCAGTTGGCATTGGAAGAATTAAACGCTAAGTAATGTCAAAGATAAGCAGATCCATTCAGAACAAAGCGTATTGTTTGTATGAGGTCTATGACTATAAACTAATGTGAACCCTTTAACGAGGATCACAACCCTAGTTTATTGTGAAAAAGACACTTCCTAAATAAAATACTGTCTAAACAGATCAATTTAGACCGGTGTGGTCATCTTACAGACAATTCAACTGACTAGCTAGTCTTAGGCAAGAAATAGTTATTTATTTTTTTATTTTAGTCCACCTCATTGACTGGCCATTTAACAGTGGCATGCATCGCTCTACAAACGGCCTGTCAGCAATAAAGGGCCCCACCTTGTAGAAGGGCTCCCCAAGACATGTCCCCTCGTCACAAACAATAAGGATTTCTCCCCGCATTTATCTAAATGGGTGCTAGGGTCTGTTCGTTGCCATGACACCTACGCACCCCCTCTCTTATCCCTCCCCATCATCATGACCACAGGATCCTCCGAGACGTGGCACTGGATTATGTGTATGTTTATGGTTACCCACAATGCAGCAGGGGAGGACTGGCATCCTCGCACATCTGTCGTTTCTGACAAGTGGCTCCTCTAGCCCAGAAGTCTCTGCTCTAACCATTAACGTTAGGGTAAACCCTGGTCCCGGACACCGCTAGGGTAAACCCTGGCCCCGGACACCGCTAGGGTAAACCCTGGCCCCAGACACCGCTAGGGTAAACCCTGGCCCCGGACACCGCTTCCAAAACCCATAGGTATTGTGTTCATTCAAAACACATTGGCTGAAAAGCACCCACCCTTCCCTTAGCCAAGAGTTCAACATAATACTCTCCATACATGCATTATACTGTGTCAATACACTCGCTCTGTGCCCAAAACTAACTCCAACCTTGACGGCCCACTTAACAAAGTTATGCTCAATACACCCACAATGGAGCGATTTCACAGCCAATGATATCTCAAGAACCGTGAGTGGAGATGGAATCTGAGCGGAGTTTATCTTTCATACCCAGGGTTTTGCCAATCAGAGCATTTTATATCACGGGTTGCCAGATATTCTACCCCCTGCATTGTGTTTCCCGTTAAAACCACAGCGTGACGACTCCCCTGGGCTTCGCATGGTTGCCAGGTCTGACTTAAGCTGTTACAGTAAGCCAGTAAGCCAATATCAATAGCCATACAACACACTTTATATCCAAACAACGTTACCACCAAGTACATAAAACACACTAGTATTTGCTTGTGGACTTTGGCTTGAGATTGTCATCCGTAGCCTAACACTTATGGGTCATTAGCATCTTGACTAGGGAGGGGAAAGGGACAGTGGGCCATGCAGTGGGCCATGCAGTGGGCCATGCAGTGGGCCATGCAGTGAAGTGTGTAACCTCCATGACATCTCTCCCCCGAAAAACACACGCTACGTTTCCATTCAAAAGTAATGTGCGATTGCTTTAGAAGAAGAAGAGATGTGGGAGAAAACATAGTTGAGTCAAGATCACAGATGGTTACCTCGAGACACTAAAACTGAGTGAGGGAGATACGGGTACATATTTAAAAGTAGCCCGAGTCTTATTGAGCACTGAATGAAACAATAATCATCAGACACTAAAGACAGTCAAGCTCATTGCAACTTCTTGACATTTCATATTTATTAAATCTGCATTTAACCCGAGATCTACAGTAGCTTGGCAAGGACAACACAGTCAAAGTCATTTCTGTCAATATTTATCCTCCCAACAAGTTTGGATGTTTTTTTTGAAGAGTCCCATGGAACATAGTAATAGCCAGTTTCTGACAATCCTCATAACATTTATGTCAGACCCATAACAATAGAATTACTATTTCTATTGGCAGCTCATCATTACAGAGCATAACATCCAGCTCCACCTCTCTCAGGACACATCACATACTGTACAGAACTGTACTTCAGGACACACACACACACACACAGACACATAATACGCTGTAGAACTCGCTGTGGGTCTTCCAGAATGAGTCCCCACTGAGCCATATTCTGAGGTTTTGGCTGTGGATGGTGGTTTTCTGTTCTGTGCTGTAACTGGATGGATGAGGGAGAGTAATAATGAGTCTTTATGGAGCTCTTAGGCTCTCTTGAGACCATGAGACCATGTTATTATGTGACCATGTTATTATGACACCATGATATTATGAGACCATGTTATTATGAGACCATGAGAACAATCAAGAAGTCGGAAAAATAGGCAATTTAGTCTTTAGTCTCTGGATAAGAGCGTCTGCTAAATGATATAAAAAAACATATTGATTTGTTCCCATGGTGACGAAAATAAATATATACAAAAAGGAAAGCTACAAACAGGCATGCCCCAAACTCAACGTGAGCAAGACAAAGGAGCTGATCGTGGACTACAGGAAACGGAGGGCCGAGCATGCCATCATCCACATCAATGGGGCTGTAGT